ATTCCTGGCTCCCATTATCTCCAATGGGCCTTCAAGTGTTTCCCACAAAGAATAGATGGAACACTCTGTGTCTGAGGCAGTGATGCCCTGTATTCGTGGTGCTTGGGGGGGCAACAGCGGGAGGGCTTCTGGAGTTCTGGCCCCACTAGTGGACCTCCTGAGGTCACCTGGGTTTGGGCCACTGTGTGTAACAGAGTGTTGGACTGGATGGGCCACTGGCCTGATCCAGCACAGCTTCTCATGTTCTCAAGAGCAGAGGTCCATGAGTGGCTATTAGCCAGAAGGTATAGATGGAACACTGCCTGGGGCAGTGGTGCTCTGTATTCTTGGTGCTTGGGAGGGGGGGACAACAGTGGGAGGTCTTGTGTACTTCTGGCCCTGCTGGTGGACCTCCTGAGGGCACCTGGATTTTGGCCACTGTGTGACACAGAGTGTTGGGTTGGATGGGCCATTGGCCTGATCCAACATGGCTTATCTTATGTTCTAATGTCTGGGGCAGTGATGCCCTGTCTTCTGGGTGCTTGGGGGGGCACAGTGGGGGGGCTTCTGGAGTTCTGGCCCCACTGGTGGACCTCCTGATGGCACCTGGGTTTTGGCCACTATGTGACGCAGAGTGTTGGACTGGATGGGCCACCGGCCTGATCCAACGTGGCTCCTCTTATGTTCTTATGCTGCCAGTCTGAGTAGACAATACCGACCGTGGCAGACCAATGGCCTGACTCCTTGTCAGCCAGCTTCCTACAGCCCCCATAAAGATCTTAGCTGGGCAATACACAAGATGGCCAATTAGTATCAAGAAGAGAAACAAGCTGGTGTGTCTTCCAATGAAGAGGCAGAAATATACCTGGGAGAAGGCAAACTGTGCCCTGCTCGCTGAGAAGAGTTATAAAGCACCAATTCAATGCTATCTAATGCCACAGAAGACAGAGTGAGTTAAATCAAGACGATCATCAACATGATTCAGATCACCAACAGATACCTATATCATTAACTTAAATGGCTTAAAAAGTCCATTTGTTAGTCAGATGCAATTGCCTCCCCTTCTTCTCCCCACAACAGGCACCTTGTGAGGCAGGTGGGGCTGAGAGAGTTCTGAGAGCGAGACCTGTGACTGCCCCAAGACCACCCAGCAGGCTTCATGGGGAGGAGGAGTGGGGACTCGAACGTGACTCTCCCGCCCAGCAGGCTTCATGGGGAGGAGTGGGGACTCGAACCTGACTCTCCCAACTACAGTCCACCGCTCTTAACCACTACCCAAAAAGACTTACCTCATCAGAAGCGGCACCAAACAAAGCTGCCCAAAAGCCTATGAAGAGAAAGGAAACAGTGTGAGCTGTCCCTGTGGAGTACCTACAGACTCAGGCTCCGAGCACTGATGGGTCAAATTCAGCCCAGACTCTCAGGAGGAAGCAGAAAGGAAGGAAACATCCATAAATCTTTTAAGCCTAAGCATTGCCTTTTCTGACTTTTGCTTCTCTGTGTACCCCAGCCGAACACCTGCGTACACCAAGGCCTTTCATAAAAGCTTAAAAGCCACTGCCACCAGCCCGGTCTGCTGGTGGACGGGGAAGACTTCTGTTGTCCTTCCCAGGGGTCATTGTGTAGAAAAAAAGGTGCACACGCTCATTTGCATATGCCACACCCCCTGACAATGGGCAGGCATGTTTAAAATGCCTTTCTTTCCCTTCCCCATCTGGCGAAGGGAAAGAAAGGCATTTAAATCCCCCCCAGGTGGCGGGGGGGGGCTCTGCAGTCCTTCCCTGACCCGTCCACCTGCGTGGGCGGGCAGGCCAGGAAAGGTGGCAGGGGGGCGCCCCCGGGCTCCTTACTGCCGGCGCGCCATTCCAGCGCATTCTGGCAGCTAATGACCCCTGGTCCTTCCTAAAGAACAGACTAGTGAGGCTTGCATCTTTGGGAAAGGGCTCCAGCCAACTGTCAGGAAGGGGACTTGTGGGTGTGGGACCTGTTATCCAGGGAGACGCTCAGGAAATCCCAGAGCGCCCTTCCACCTCAGCTAGATAGAGTATCGATGCTCTATGTCCAGCCCCCACAGGTGCTCCAATAGCGTCAATGTACCCAGACCTTTTTGTAGGGCAAAGGGAAGCACTGTCTTGGACTCTTCCCGGGTGATGGGAAGAGCCGTCAAGTCAAAGCCAACTGATGGTGAACATTCATGCTCAGAGCTGGGTTTGAGTGAGGCACCACGCTGGAGACACCTGTGGAAATCTCTGCAGAAGCAACCCTGGACTTCCTTGGGGGGGGGGTGTCTCCCATCCGAGTACTCACCAGGCCTGACCCTGCTTAGCTTCCAAGATCTTAGGAGAGCAGGCTAGCTTGGGCCCCGCCAGATCAGGGCAGGACTTTGCTCTCTTCTTCTGTGGCCTTCCTCCCTTGCCTCTGGCCACTGGTGCCTTGAAGGTTCCTCTGATCAACTGTTTCTTCAGTCAAGTCCTTTCTTCATACTTAAAACTGCTCCAGCAAGGAGGGAGGAGGGACGCTTTGCGACTGACACAAAAGTCAGCCAATCTGTGCTATTCTGTTGCAAGCCGCCCCGAGCCCTACTTGTAGGGAAGGGTGGCCTCGTAAATCTAATTTCAGAAATAACAAATAAATAAAAGCAGCACTGTGTTGACCAGAAGAACAGCCGCTGCCACCACCCCAGCCAAGTTCAGGGGAGCAGGTCACACATTTGTTCAAAACAAGTGGATGGTAGGCTCACAGATAAGGTATTATTTTATTTATTTATTTATTTATTTGGTTTATACCCCATGCTCCCCGCCAAGGCGGGCTCAGGGCGGCCTACATAAAATTCATATAAATTACAATTAAGGCCAGGGGTCATTTCCTGCAGGAGCACACAGAAGTGGAGCTCCGGCAGTAAAGAGCCCAGGGGGCGGGCACATGCAACAAGCCCCATCCCCTGCTCCCAGCAGCCCCGGGCCATGAGGAGCAAGAAGCAGCCAGGTAAGTTGCAGTGGGTGTTGCCTTCTGACACACTTCGGGTGATGTCAGGGGGTGTGGCATATGCAAATAAGTTATCCTAATGAGTTATGCTAATGAGCTCCTGTACCTCTTTTTCTACGAAATGACCCCTGATTAAGGCCATAAACATAAAGACATAAAATACTCAATTAAAATACTCCTAAAAATGCTGGAACATGGTTTGATAAGAACGAGAGCGAACATTATTATTAATGCAGCTTAAAGTGGCCGCGTGTTCCGATGGTCTTCACGCCAACGCAGTTCGTTCAACTTATTATGCGGTAGGCACAGGCTGAAGATGAAAGATGGTAAGACCAGGGCACAGGGACACTCCTCGGTGTGGACTGCAGCTCCTTAGTCAAAAGCCTGTACATCTCTCACCCCACCCATGCACTAGCCCTGTTCACAAGTTACAGCTGAACCCCATGTATAGTCCAGGTACAATGTACACTTAGCTGTTCTTTATACGTATGTTGAGTAATTCTCATGTTACACTCAACATATGCACAGGTCGACGTATACAGATTGAAACCTTCATTTCCCTCTTGAGAGTTCTGGCACCTCTTTTTCCAGGAAGGAAAAAAAAAGGCCCTGGGAAGAATAATTCCCTCCGTTAAGCTCTGTCTATTTGTATAATTTCTCTCGGACGGGACATTCAGAACTGGAATCCATCACCAACAATCCCCAGTGGTTCGGTTCACTCCCCACCTGATCTTTCTGAATGCCTGAACCAGGCCGTCGGGGTCCACTTCCATTGCAAATGCACATCCAGCCCCCCCCTCCCGGGGAGAACCAGCAGGGGAGGGGTCAGTTTGGAGCAAAGAAGGGAAGGGGCACCATGGCAGAGCATCTGCTCAGCAGGCAAAAGGTCCCAGATTCAATCCTTGGCATCTCTAGCTATAAAGGACCAGGCTGTAGGTGATGGGAAAGACCTTTGCCGGAGACCCTGGAGAGCAGCTGCCAGTCTGAGTAGACAATACTGACCTTGATGGACCAATGGTCTGGTTCAGTATAAGGCGGTTTCATACGTGTTCAATAGTTTTTTGGGTTGTTTTTTTAAAGCAACAGGCCGCTAAAGGGCTAAGCCTTTTCCACTTCGTAACAGCCTCTCCTGGACACACTCTGGATGAAGGAAAAGATTATCTAAAAGGGCATGAAGATTAGTCACTGGATACTCACAGTGTTGGCCAAGTACACACAAAGGCGCAATGGGAAACCAGAGAGCCTGGGACTCCACTAGAGAAAGGAGAAAGAGAAGAGTGGGTTAATGGGAACATCTGAAGAAGCGAGGAGAGACTCACAAACACTCTTACCCTGCCCACAAATTTGATCAATCTTTAAGGTGCTGCTGGGACTCTGGATCTTTTCTACTAAACAGGAACAGAAAGGCGGAATTGCTAGCTACGTCTGGACCAAAAAAAGGAGCCTGGAGACCCAGTGAGAGATAAATATTTTTAATCCCAGCAGACGTTTTTGTGGACTAGACACTGCTTTGACTGATGCACATAGTAGTCCCTACCACAAAAACCAGTTTGGTGTAGTGGTTAGGAGTGCCTACTCTAATCTGGGAGAACCAAGTTTGATTCCCCACTCCTCCACATGCAGCTGCTGGTGTGACCTTGGGTTCGTCACAGCTTCTCTCAGAGCTGTTCTCTCAAGGGTAGTCCTCGAGAGAGCTCTCTCAGCCCCACCTACCTCACAGGGTGTCTGTTGTGGGGAAGGGAAGGGAAAGGAGACTATAAGCCGCTCAGAAACTCCTTCAGATAGTGAAGGGCGGGGTATAAATCCAATCTCCTCTTCTACCAGCCAAATATATATGAGGTTACGAAAGGGAAATTATAATAAGCAGAGTCACAGGACCATAAAATGCAGGGAGACGTAAGATTCAGACATGATCCATTTTCCATCGGGATCTTTCGCACTGTACTTTGCACATTCCATTACTTTGCATGGCTCCACATCCGTGCCCACCTGTACCCTAGCCTCAAAAATACCTCACCTGAATCTCTTCCCTACCTTTGCGCCATTGCATTGTGCCATCCAGCCAGGAAACCAAAACTCTGGCCGGGCGGCAACACGACGTACACTGCTGGCTACGATGCTGATGGATTCGAGGCCAACTATCTGTGGGAGAGGAAACCTTTACCTGAATTCTCCCACACCTGGGCGCTGGCAGAGTTCCCGGTGGCTGTCTTTGATCTGGCTGTATGTTGGGACTTGGCTAGTGGTTGTGTGTGGGACGAGCCGCTCCACCCTTATGCGTCGTTTGAGACAGACAAGCAGCACCGCTCCACCCCAACCTCAGGCGCATTTCCTTTGTCTCACTGGCACCTCTCGTTTACACCAGGCAAACACCTGCTCACCTGTTTCCCAGACACCAAAGCAGTGGGGGGTGCTGACAGCGAGCCCTGCCGCTGGAGCAGGCCGAGGCCCACCCTCCATTCAAGGCACGGGCAGAGCACCCCGCACAGGTTTGTTTACACCCCGCCTTTCTCTACTTTATCCTCAAAACAACCTCCTGAGATTAGGCTGTGTGAGAGGACAAAGGCTGAGAACAGTGGCAATTTTTAGACCAACAAAGTTTAATCTGGGGTACAAGCAGGCTGTCTTTGATCTGGCTGTATGTTGGGACTTGGCTAGTGGTTGTGTGTGGGACGAGCCGCTCCACCCTTATGCGTCGTTTGAGACAGACAAGCAGCACCGCTCCACCCCAACCTCAGGCGCATTTCCTTTGTCTCACTGGCACCTCTAGTTTACACCAGGCAAACACCTGCTCACCTGTTTCCCAGACACCAAAGCAGTGGGGGGTGCCGACAGAGAGCCCTGCAGCTGGAGCAGGCCGAGGCCTACCCTCCATTCAAAGCACGGGCAGAGCACCCCTCACAGGTTTGTTTACCCCCTGCCTTTCTCTCCAGCAGAGACCCTATACTGCTTATATTGTTCTCTACTTTATCCTCAAAACAACCTCCTGAGATTAGGCTGTGTGAGAGGACAAAGGCTGAGACCAGTTGCAATTTTTAGACCAACAAAGTTTAATCTTGGGTACAAGCAGGGCTATTTTGGGGCAGGAACGCACAGGAACGGAGTTCCGGCTGGCTTCAGAGTTGGCCACTACAGCCAAAACCTCTGCGTGCGTGGCTACACAGGGAAGGGCTGGAGAGCAAACCCCCCCCCCCCCCGCCCCCGGGGCGGGGGGGGGGGGGGGGGGGGGGGGGGGGGGGGGGGGAAAACAGCGAGGGGCGAGCGGGGAGCCGCTCGCCCCTGGCTT